AACCGATTCATCTGGTCGCCCCTTGGGAAAAGATGGCAAACCTATTCCCACAGATGCAAGCGGAACCCCCCTGGACAAGGACGGACATCCACTACCCACCGACAGCAGCGGAAGCTTTGTCACAGTTTCAGCTGAAGAAGCAGTCACAAAGGAGTTGCCAACTGATGAGAGCGGCAATATAATTTATCCAGTGACCAGACCGGACGGATCCCCGTTGCCTACTGATTCTTCCGGAAACTTTATCACTGAGGAAGGCATCATAGTTGGTCCCGATGGTAAAGCCCTACCTACACCATACGGTGAAAAGTGTTCTCTAAAAAACCTTAAGATGGATATCGTGTTTACAGTGGATACTAGAAAGTTGTCCAACTCTACATTCCAGAACATTTTGCGGGCAATATCAAACTTTGCTGACAAGGTTGATCTGTCTCCTGATGTGACTCGCATAGGACTAGTATACGGCAATAAAGATATTGTTGTACCACTTCCGCTTGGTGGCTACCAAGAAAAAGAACACATGAGAGATGAGCTGCGACGAATTGAATTTTCTTACGACGAATCAAACGATCGCGTGCCTCTGTATGAATCAACGAAACAACAGTTTACTATGTTTCCACGAGCAGGCAGCGTCAAGGTCAGCGTGCTCTTCGGAAAGGACATAATAAGGTAAGTCTTTTTTTGTTTCTATTCATTCGCAAAATATTCTCTAGTCATAAAACTTAGCTATCTTTCGAGTTTTCTTTAGAAAAGTAAACTTACTTTAACACAAGAGTTTATTGTTCACAACATTTATGTTATGAACAACATTTCAAGTTAATCACCACTTCAACTCATACCGCTTCGAATGCTAGACAACTTCTTTTCATGGAATTCGCATCATTATCACTGCTTTATCTTCAAAGCGTCTTCTCAACTTGTCATTGGATTCTTCTATTTAAATCTGAAGAGTTATCGATAAATTTGCGCAATTTAAGGGAAGTTGTCGAGAGTAGCGTTTTTATGGAACTTATTCTTGTTATTAGGATGAGGAGCTACTTCTAAAGGAATTTATGCTTGATTTTTCAATCAGCTTTCAAAAGCCGATAATTTTTGGGGCATTTCCATGTACGGATTATTGCAGTAGCTAAAATGACCGCCGCAATATGATCTCTTGAACAGTTTTGTATCCTGATAAATTATATATATTCATTCATAAATCTTACATTCCATTGAATTCTTTATTTCGCTAAATTTGAGGATTTTGAGGGATTTTGAAACATTTGAGAGAGAAGAACAATAATTATCCAACAACTTACCAGTTTACTCAAGGTAAAGGGCAAAGTAAGATTACATCATCTCTCTTAATTTTAAAGTAATTCTTAATCCTTTGTGCTTTTGAAGCAGTTCCTTCAGTTCCACTCA